AAATTTTTGTAACCTTTTCCATATTTATATAATATTGAAATCTGCCTATTAAATAATCAGAATGAATAAATAAATAGCACAGCCTATTATTCTGGAGACTTCTGGAGTTATATTTGAGTTGGAAACTTGCCCTGCATTTTACTGCTATGGAACCTTCAGCAGGATATATAATTCTCTAGATTTCAGTTTTCTCCACTGTAAAGCAGAGATAACAACATGTAATTTAGTGAACATAAAATGAGCCATTATTTTATATAGTACTAAGAAAGAAAAATTGCTGTCAATTAAACAATGATGCAATACTTTCTGTGGCTTAGACTTTTTAATTTATACTTATTGAAATAGTTCTTTTAGATGTACTTAAGCTTTTGAAAAGTCACATATCACGCTTTAAAAAGAAAAATATAAGGGCAATGAATTGGTTAAGGTTTTTCTAAAATGTTTCATGTTCAGACTTAGTGTCCTGATACACAGTTTGACTCAAGTCAAGACTCCTGTTTCTCCACACATTATCATCCTCCGCATCAGTGTGGCTATTGGTGATGTAACTTTCTTCCTCCAAGAGTGATCTAATTTCTATATAGGATTTTCTGCCAAGCTGCTTACACTATTCTTCAAGTTTTAAATGCTGGTGCTTTCCTGATCTTACAAATATATGTCAACAGTTAGGACTCAAATGGTCCTTGATGTGAGAGGTGGACCATAAAGAAGGCTGAGCGCCAAAAAATTGATGCTTTTGAACTGTGGTGTGCGATAAGAGTCTTGAGAATCCCTTGGACTGCAAGGCAATCAAACTAGTCAGTCCTAAAGGAAATCAACCCTGAATATTCATTGAAAGGGCTAAAGCTGAAGCGTCATTTTGACCACTTTATGCTAAGAGCCGACTCATTGGAAAAGACCCTGATTTTGGGAAAGATTGAGGGCAGGAGGAGAGGGGATGGCAGAGAATGAGATGGTTAGAAAGTATCACCAACTCAGTGGATGTTAATTTGAGCAAACTCCATGTGATAGTGGAGGGCAAAGGAGCCTGGCTGCTGTCAATGGGGTTGCAAAGAGTCAGACACAACTGAGTGAGCACATTCTAGAATTTAATATCATCAGAATCATGTAGGGTACACTCTTCTGTGTCTTTTTTGGATATACTTCCGTGTCACTGAATATATGAAGGGTTCATGCCTTTTTCTTGGAGAGTGGTCTTCTGATGTGTAGATGTATCACTTTTTGTGCATTCTCCAACTGATGGATGTTTCCATTGTGTTCAGTTTGGGGTTGTGAGTAAAGCGACTGTGACATCTGAGTCCAGAAGTCACTGCCTGCGTTGGAAGGCGAAGCTTCAACCACTGTACCACCAGGGAAGTCCCCATTTTATCCCCTTTATTCAAGATAATTTCCTGGAGAGCAGGGACTGTGCCTTGTTCTTTTCTGTATTTGCCCACACAGTGATAGACAATAAATAGTCTCAAAAGATATTTATCTAGTCATGGAATCGGAAACTGGATTTCAGTAACAGAAATGATATTTTTTGGGTATTCACAATGCCCTAACATGGAAAAAATTTTTGTAACCTTTTCCATATTTATATAATATTGAAATCTGCCTATTAAATAATCAGAATGAAGAAATAAATAGCACAGTCTACTATTCTGGAGACTTCTGGAGTTATATTTGAGTTGGAAACTTGCCCTGCATTTTACTGCTATGGAACCTTCAGCAGGATATATAATTCTCTAGATTTCAGTTTTCTCCACTGTAAAGCAGAGATAACAACATGTAATTTAGTGAACATAAAATGAGCCATTATTTTATATAGTACTAAGAAAGAAAAATTGCTGTCAATTAAACAATGATGCAATACTTTCTGTGGCTTAGACTTTTTAATTTATACTTATTGAAATAGTTCTTTTAGATGTACTTAAGCTTTTGAAAAGTCACATATCACACTTTAAAAAGAAAAATATAAGGGCAATGAATTGGTTAAGGTTTTTCTAAAATGTTTCATGTTCAGACTTAGTGTCCTGATACACAGTTTGACTCAATTCAAGACTCCTGTTTCTCCACACATTATCATCCTCCGCATCAGTGTGGCTATTGGTGATGTAACTTTCTTCCTCCAAGAGTGATCTAATTTCTATATAGGATTTTCTGCCAAGCTGCTTACACTATTCTTCAAGTTTTAAATGCTGGTGCTTTCCTGATCTTACAAATATATGTCAACAGTTAGGACTCAAATGGTCCTTGATGTGAGAGGTGGACCATAAAGAAGGCTGAGCGCCAAAAAATTGATGCTTTTGAACTGCGGTGTGCGATAAGAGTCTTGAGAATCCCTTGGACTGCAAGGCAATCAAACTAGTCAGTCCTAAAGGAAATCAACCCTGAATATTCATTGGAAGGGCTAAAGCTGAAGCGTCAACATTTTGACCACTTTATGCTAAGAGCCGACTCATTGGAAAAGACCCTGATTTTGGGAAAGATTGAGGGCAGGAGGAGAGGGGATGGCAGAGAATGAGATGGTTAGAAAGTATCACCAACTCAGTGGATGTTAATTTGAGCAAACTCCATGTGATAGTGGAGGGCAAAGGAGCCTGGCTGCTGTCAATGGGGTCGCAAAGAGTCAGACACAACTGAGTGAGCACATTCTAGAATTTAATATCATCAGAATCATGTAGGGTACACTCTTCTGTGTCTTTTTTGGATATACTTCCGTGTCACTGAATATATGAAGGGTTCATGCCTTTTTCTTGGAGAGTGGTCTTCTGATGTGTAGATGTATCACTTTTTGTGCATTCTCCAACTGATGGATGTTTCCATTGTGTTCAGTTTGGGGTTGTGAGTAAAGCGACTGTGACATCTGAGTCCAGAAGCTTTGCTTATGTGTTTCATTTCTCTTGGGTAAATACCTAGCAGTGGAATTGTTGGATCACAGGATAGGTGTATGTTGAGGTTATAAGAATCTGGCATAACCTTTCTCAAAGTGGCTGTACATTTCAATCTCCACCATTTTTCTGGTAACACTTTTTGATATGCTTCTCGGCCATGTGTAAATCTTTGTAATGTGTCTGTGGCATCATTTGTCCACTTGCCAGTCAGTTTATTTGTGGTTTAATTATTGAGTTGCAGGACTCAAGTTCTTCATCAGATATATATATTATAAATATTTTCTCCCTGTCTATGGCTTGCCTATGCATCTTCTTAATGGTATTTTTTGAGAAGTAGAGGTTTTTAATTTTGATGAAGTCCATTTATCCATTTTTCTTTTATAATTAATATTTTCTGTGTCCTTTCTAAAATTTTTGCTGACCCCAAAATTAGATAGATATTCTTCTATATCTTCTAAAAGCTTTACAGGTTTCACTTCTTCATTTAGGTTTGTGATCCATCTCTAGTTAAATTCTGTGTATGGTTTGAGGTATGTATCAAGGTTACTGTTTTCACCAGGTAGGTCGCTACTTGTTCCAGTATTCCACTGAAAGCATTCCTTTTTCCTCATGGACTTGCTTTGGCACTTTGGTTGAAAATCACTTAACTCTGTGAGTGTGGGTCCACTTCTAGACTGTCTATTCTGTTCCCTAGAGCCGTTTGTCTGTCTTTATGCCAGTACCGTACTGTCTGCATTTACTGTAACTTCAGTGTTAATAAATCAAGCAGCAGATGTCCTCTAACTCTGTTCTACCTTTTAATGATTGCTTTGGTTCAGCATTTCCTTTTATATTTTAGAATAAGTTCTTCAATTTCTAAAAATGACTCATATGAGGTTTTGATTGAAGTTGTATTGAATCAATAGATCAATTTGAGGAAAATGAAAACCCTAACAGTATTCAGTTTTCTAATATATGTATATATGATATATCTTTCTAATTATTTAACTCTTCTTTAGATCTCTCAGAAGTTTCAAAATGGTTTTCTGTTATAGAAGTTTTCTCAAGTTTCTTTAAATTTATCCCTAAGTATTATGAATTTTAAAATATACATAGTATTTTAAAAATTCATCTTCAAATTGTTTGCTGCTGGTATTTAGAAATACAATTAATTTCCATCTATTAACCTGGATTCTTTCATCCTTGATAAATTTGATGTGCCTTATATTTTGCTCAGAATTTTATAGAATTTCAAGTTTATTCTCACAGTCATCTCTAATGCAGGTATTAGCACAATCATATTCTGTAAGAAGATTGTCCTGAAATTCCACATGCTAATTTTTTTGCTCCAGGTCATGGTTTGAGTTACCAGGGGAGTGTGATTTGAATTTCAGTCTAGTTTGACTCTAAGGCCCATTTGCTTTCCACCCTACTGTAATATTTTACCTCTTTGACATTTGGATGTTTGAATGGAATGATACCATGTAGCTTCCCTGGGGTTCACTGGGACATTTTTGTGTCATTGTGTTTCAGAAGGATATGAATTAGTCACTGGAACCTCTGAAACAAAATACAATGAGAAAAGGTGAAAAAGTGACTGAAAGTTTTTCTAGTTTTAGAAGGACTGTCGGCATGCTTCCAAATCCCTCCACAGAAGACTGTTTATGCAGTTGCACATAGCTGCAAATTTCAGTTTCCTTGCCTCACATGGTTATTCTTTTTGTTGTTCAGTTGCTGTCATGCCCGACTCTTAGTGACCTCATGGACTGCAGCATGCCGGGCTTCCCTGTCTTTCACTGTGTCTGGGAGTTTGCTCAAACTCATGTCCATTGAGTTGGTGATGCCATCCAACCATCTTGTCCTCTGTTACCCCCTCCCCTCTTGCCCTCAATCTTTCCCAGCATCGGGGTCTTTTCCAACGAGTTGGCTGTTTGCATCAGGTAGCCAAAATATTGGCGCTTCAGCTCTGTCATCAGTCCTTCCAGTGAGTATTCAGGGTTGCTTTCCTTCAGGATTGACAGACTTGATCTCCTTGCAGTCCCCAGGACTCTTGCTGATAGTACAGCTTAGCTATGGCTGTGTCTTCCGTGTGTAGGGATGCTCTAATGCTTGTTTTCCCGCCTTCTCACCCACGATGCGCTGCAGGAGGCCATTTCTGTACAGCAAAGGAGCTGACGGAGGAGATCGGATCTTTGACACTGGAGAGGGAAGGGCTGGAGGGACTTCTCCACAAGCTGTTGGTACTGAGCTCCAGGAACGTCCAAAAGCTGGGAAGTGTGAAAGAAGCTTACAGCAGACTCAGGCAAGAACTGGACCAGGGGAGAACTGCCTATGGTAAGTGGTCACACGCTTGCCCGATGAAATATGTGTGCTATTTATTGTACGGCTTCACATGTACCCTTTACTGTGAAGGCTGTCCTGGAGCCACACAGGATGTTTTTGGCAGGAGCCCTAGAAAATAGGGCACAATTTCTGTCAGCGTTTGCTTTGCTATCAATCTGATGCCTTTTCATTTCCTGTCTTTCCTCCTCCTCGACTCTGTGCTTGCTAATGGCCTTGTGATGGCTTGAAGCAATCTCCACCTTGGCACAGGCCTTGAGAATTTTCTGGTTGACAATTATCTCCCTTTTGTTCCTTGGCTCAGCCTTCTGGCTTGCACAATCGCACACGAAAGCAGGCTGGCTCTGGGAAAACCAAGGAAAGGCCACGGAGTGCCTCTTCTTTGTGGGCTTTCCCAAGAACTGCCCACAAAGAAGGGGCAGATGCAGAAAAGGCTGCCTTGGCCAAAGTGTCCACTGGTTGGAGGAGTTAAACTATTCTTGTGGTCTTTTCTTGTCTAGTTGTTAACAGTAAATGAGGTCACCTTGAAGTTTCACTCTGAGGGATAATTTCAGAAGATTGTGATTTAGCCCAAATTAATAAAGTCAAACCTGTTTCTCAAAAAAAAAATAGTAAAGAATTTCTGATGATTCAGTTTCTAATATACAGGATGAAATCATAGGGAGAAAATTTATATTTAAAATGCAACAGATGCTGGACCCTGTTTCTTCACCAGTAAAATGAGATGATAGATTATCCATCTCATAAGCTAGTTAAGTGGTACAGATTAATTGCATTAATTATTAAGATCCTGAGACTGTGTGTGTGTGCATACACCTTTGCCCTACCCTTGGGAACTAGAGGTTGTTGGAAGGCAAAGTTCATACACAGTAAATCATATTTCCTAAGTAAATGTTTACTAGAAAAATGAATGACATTTATGCTAATAAAGAACTGTATTTACAAAGTATGCTTGTTTAAAAAGAAACAAGAATGAAGGTATTAGGTAGCCAGATTTGAAATGGGGCCACCCTGGTGGCAGACACAGTGAAGGTTCCACCTGCAATGCAGGAGGCCTGAGTCTGATCCCTGGGCTGGGATGATCCCCTGGAGGAGGGAATGGCTCCCCACTCCAACATTCCTGCCTGGAGAATTCCATGGACCTAGGGGCCTCCCTGGCTACAGTCCAGGGGTTGCAGAGTCAGATGTGACTGAGTGACTAACACCTTTAACACACTTATTTGAAAATACTCTACAAATTGAAGTAAATGAAGATTAGCATTTAAAACTAAACAAATATGGAATCAGCTAGTAGAAATAGGTGTATCATTTCACTGTTAGTACATTTTGTCTTAAAGGCTTACTAAATTTTGTAGAGAGAGGTTTCTTTGTAGTTATCTGAATGACAGATGCGACTGTCAACCGTTTTTGTGTCTTCTCAGCCGTGGACACCTCTAAGTTGGCCTTATCTTTTTTTTCATTTTTGCAGGTCAAAGCTTTGTTTTTTGCCAAATATGTAAGCTAGAGATTATGCATCTGAGCCTTAGTATATAACTGTAGTCTTGAGAAATGACAACATGTTCCTCCAAGATGTAATGCTGCAGTTTATTATGTTATTGTAGGTCTAATCTTGTAGCTAAATAAATTTTGCTATAAATTTTTATAAATTTGTTTTAAATTTTTAAAAATATAAACAAGGAAAACTATGAGAATTCCTATGTTATCTTCACAAGACTTTTGCTGTGAAACAGGAAATTTATATCACAGAGAAAAGATGAGAACAAATTTGGACAAGTTTAATTCAGCANCAGGGGACCTTCCCGACCCAGGGATCGAACCTGCATCCTCGGCAGCTCCTGCTTTGGCAGGTGGATTCTTTACCACTGAGCCACCTGGGTATCCCTTCCTTGTGCTTTATAGGCTGAAGCTAATTTTTAAGCAATCTGAGGTGACTTGGCGTTAGGTGAACCAAAGTAGTAACCTTGGGTTGGTGAGAGTGGGAGAGACAAAGAAATAAATTCTTAGTAAAGTGAAGCTTTTTTCCATGGATATGATGTTAAACTAGACCAAGGTCCACATTCTATTATTTGTTGGGTTTTGAGAGTTAAAAATCTGGAGTGAGCTCTGTGCTCAAGTTTAAATGTAGAGCAAATACAAAGAAGTAAAGTGCTTCTGCACATTACCGAGATGGTTGGATTGCATCACCAACTAAATGGACATGAGTTTGAGCAAGCTCCGGGAGTTGGTGATGGACAGGGCTGCCTGACATACTGTAGTCCATGAGGTCGCGAAGAGCTGGACACGACTGAGCGACTGAACTAAGTAATGTGCTGCTGCAGGTATTACCATGAGCTGACTCTTTTTAATCTTAGATAAAGCATCTTAAAATGAGACTATTAAAAAAATGAGCAATGTGTAGAGTTCTTAAAAACAGATTTTTATTTATTTAAAAATTTTTCTGTTATTTCCTATTTTATTGTTTTTTATTAAAAAAAATTTTTTTTACAATGTTGTATTGGCTTCTGCCATATAACAACCAACCATAACTATACATGTATTCCCCCCACCTTTTGAGCCTCCCTCCCCTCCCCTACCCCACACCCCTAGGTCATCAGAGAGTGCCAGGCTGGGCTCCCTGTGTTATTTAGCAACTTTTCACCAGCTATCTATTTTAGACATGATAGTGTATATATGTTGATGCTACTTTCTCCATTCATCCCACTATCTTCCCCCCCACTGTGTCTACAAGTTCATTCACTATGTCTGTGTCTCTGTTCCTTCCCTTAAAATTGGTTCATCAGTACCATTTCTCTAGATTCCATATATAGAACTGACTCAAATGTATTCTTTTATGGCTGAGTAATATTCCATTGTATATGTGTGCCACATCTTCTTTATCCATTTATCTGTCGATGGACATCTAGGTTGCTTCATTTTCTGGCTATTGTAAATAGTGCTGCAATGAACATTGGGGGTATATGTGTCTTTTAGAATTGTGGTTTCCTCAGGGTATATCCCCAGTAGTGGGGTTGCTGGGTCATATGGTAGCTTTATTCCTAGTTTTTTTAGAGGATCTCCATACTGTTCTCCATAAAGGCTGCATCAGTTCACATTCCCACCAGCAGTGGAGGAGGCTCCCTTTTCCCCCTGCAGCGTTTACTGTTTGTGAAGCTGCCTCACAGCGGTGTGTTGTTCTCTGCCCTACAGCGTGAATCAGCCAGAAGTGCGCGTGGATCTCCTCCCTCGGTACCCTCGCCTGCCCCGCCCACCCCCATCCTGCCCTTCGGGTGTCCCAGAGCACTGGGCTGCCATTCTCTTAAGTTGTCCGGCCCCTCCTTCCTCCACTGTGTCCGCATGCCGGCTCCCTATGTCTGTGTCTCCATTCCTGCCCTGCAAATAGATTCATCAGCACCATTTTCCTAGGTTCCACACGTGTGTGCAGGCCAGCGGTCAGGGCAGTCAGGGACCCAGGCTCTGAGATGCCGGCTCTAGGTGGGCTGACCCAGCCATGTGTGTGTCCACATCCAGTTGGGGTTCTGTGTCTGCAGCGGAAGGGGGATCTGCAGTCTTCGGGGTAATTCACAATCTCTGTCACTTAGAGGGTTGTTAATGATGGGAAGAGTGTATGTAATGGCTCATCGCAGTTGAACTTACTTTGCTAAATCGCTTACAATGTCATTACATCTGATGTCTCTGGTTCAAGTGTGAGCCCACTGAGCTGAAAGCACAGTCTTTAGGTTTCATCTTTGTTGCTGGCAGTATCCAGCATGATGTCATTAAAAGTAGTAAATAGCCAGAAATATTTGTTCACTTACGGGGCCAGATGCTGACAAGAAACGTTAGTCCTTTCTTCCCTTATTTTGACTCACAGACCCAGACCTTGGATCTTCTTTTTTTTTCCAAATGTTTAAAATTCATCTTCCAGTCTAATTAAGGCTGTGATAAAGCTTGCTAGTTTTTCATGGAAGATGCTTGAGTTGTCCGAGTTGGATATACAGATTGGGGTGGCAGCAGACAGAACAATGTGAGAAGGACTGAAATATGCCAAAGTACTTGGGGACAAGGGAGACAGAAATCATTATGAATCTATTGACTTTTGACTCAGTGACGGAGTCTGTTTAAAGAGGGGAGGAAGCCAGGTGTTTACACCCCATCAGTGGTTCTTAAGATTTCAGGAGAACACATTTGAAGTCTGAGCAGTTTTAGGGGCAGTAAATAGATTAAATCTATCTTTCAACCTCTGAATACTTGTGGAAATTAACTATAAACCTTTAATTGTGGATTTCAGTGTTTTGTTTTTTTAAGGGAGAGTGGTATGAGAAAGAATCAGTAACATTTTAAAGTTTGCTACATCTGTTTTTCAGAAAAAAAGACAACCCTGGGATTTACAGAACTGCGTTTCCCTCTCTTGTGTATAAATTGGTAATCTGTATTGTCCTTTATTAATATTGTTGATTTCATACTGTAACTCGGATATAAAGGAAGCAGACGTCAAGGGGAGAGATTTAATCACAGAATAATCAGGGCCAGAATTTTAAATAGGACATCATTAGCATGGTAATGAATTTTCCCACTTTATGCCAGCTGCCCGAGTAGAAAAGATATTGCAGATGTAGCTCAAAAATCCGGCGGTGTCTGTGGCCCAGTGAGCTGTCAGGAATCCACGTAGGATCTGTGAAATGCATAAAACAATTCTCAGTGCGGGTGTCAAATGGTGTTTTTTTTCTGGGAGTGATGGCTTGCTGTGTCCAGCCTAAACTCATTTGTTTGCCTTTCAGTGAGTGTGGAGGAAGTGGAAGTCAGATAAGGGGCAGTTTTTAAAGGTGATGAAGTGGAAGTGGCTCAACTTTTCAATTATGGTTTGGGTCTAATATCTACTTTAGGCCAGAAAGGCCACATTCACATAATCCTGCCCTTCTTCTTGGATACCTCTTAATAGGTAATAAAAGGAAGTTTGATGCCCTTTAGTGAGATGCCAGTTTTTTAACTCTAGTCCACTGGTGAAACATCTTTTGTAAATCACTTTAAAAAAAGCTTTTGGTTTAGAGATCGTGTGATTTAAAGTTTTTGGTTTAGAGATCATGTGATTTAACAGGTGATTTAATAGGTAGTCACTCCTTTTCCACATTTATTAGCTATATTTATGTGCAAATTTCAAGAAAAATTAGAATGGGGAATAAAGTCTGTCTTTTTTGGGCAGGTTGGGGAAGAAATGGAAAACTGGAATTTATATAAATATATATCAAAAATGGACACAACAAAATTAACAAATATAATGGAA